CTATGATTTCTGGGATAATTTTTCTATTCCAATGGGGAAAAGATGGGAAGATTTGACTGACCTATTTGACTTTCTACAGTCTGAAGATGTCTGAAGCATTGAATTTTTGTGGCCCTTGCTTGGACAAACGGGGATGGAATTGTTTCAGCATCTGCACTTATGTCAATTGTCGATTATACATTATACTGCCTATTTCAAAATCTCAAGACCCGCAAGCCGTCATTCGCGGCTCGCGGTGAAATCAGCCTGGTTTCCCAGGGGAAGGAGTCAATCACCCACGGGTGCTATCAAGCCTGGTCTCGCGCTCAATTGAACCATCTCTCGTGGCAGATGGCCCCCTGCAGTGAAGATAGCATCTGCATCTGCCATTTTCATAGGGCGATCTTAAGATGGACCCTGGGGACCCTCCATATACCTCCATCTTCCAGGGCCCAGGAGAGATTTTCCCTGTAGAGCCAGTCCCAAGGCGAGGTGCATTACTTCGCCCAGTGATCAGCTCGGTCTCACTAGTCGATGTCCATTTCGAAATATCTGGTTGGGATAAAATTGATAAAGTGTGGGTTTAAAATTCAACTGGATTTTAACTTAATGTCATGTCATTTAATGGGTACCTCATTTTTTGAAACCAACCATTTTAATTGTGGACTTTCCAGCAACAAGTGCTCGCTTCGGCGCGGTGCAGAGTGAGGCCCATCGAGCATGTCTCAAGCTGAGTATGCCAAAGGTCATCACTACAGGATGGTGCCCCCCCAGTTATAAGCTGGTTTATAAACCCCCATAAACCATAGTGCCATAGTAAAGCCACTTATAAGGCAACTTCGCTATCTTGGGGGTCCCATCCTGTATGATATAATCTCTCACAGTGCGACATACGCCTATGGGTTGGTTTGAGGGGTATACCTCAACTCACGGCGATTTCAAGAGGGAAATTGATGAATCAATATGAATTACAGAATTGCGGCATTTTATGTGGGATCCTACTTTCAGAGAAATCCGGCTGCCGTATGTCATGTACCTTCTGGTAATCAACGTGGCAATGGACAATTCCATCTAATATCCATCTAATTATATAAAGATGATCCCAGCTATAAAGCTCCATTGACTTCGGGGATTTCCAATCGCCATGAACCCAGGTGCGGCCTATTGTGCAGCAGCTTCCTGCACATCGCGGGTCAGTGCAAAGCTCAGCTGCCATCGGCGACAACAGCAGATTTCAACATATTTGAACCATCCCAAGGACCTTGGAAGCTTTAGCATTTTTTGGTGACGCCCAATTTTCAGATGACTTTCTGGGTTTTTTTAGGTGGGTATGGGTCAAACTGGTGCGTCCAACGGAAAAGGTGCCTCGGACCAAAAATCGAAGCCATTTTTAGGGTCATTTCGAGGTGGGCGAAGAAGGGATGCAAGCGGAGGTGCCGGATCCCTTTCGAGGCAGCTGCGCACATCCAGTTATTGTGGTTCTGTGATTCAGCTGGTTTTTATGGTGAAGTGGGATGGAATGGGGATGGGATGAACATCTTGGGTCTTTGGGTTTGCACAAATAGTTGACCCCAAGATATATATGATGATAGTTTATCAACTGAAATCCATCCAATGGGTCCATTGCACAATTTTGACCCATAGCATCCGTACCCCTGGCCGTCAACCTCTAGGTATTTTAAAGGGCAAGTTGTTGGCTCTACTATATCCCATCATCTCCTATCATTGTCTCGTGACATTCTCATTTTATCTCAATGACTGTAAGTAAAGCTCCAATTTTTTGTTAAATTCCCCTGAATATCCCTTCATACTCTCAATATATTATATGTTTATAAATCATCGTTTTCCCAGTTTTTGTTGGTTTAATGGCCGTTTTTGTTGGTGGTAAGGCGCTCCCCTACTGGCAGCTCAGCCTCTAGCGATGCAGCAGCCAATGAGGCCTGTGGAGGTTGTAACTTCAGGAAGTCCAAGACGTGGAAATTCATGGGTTCCCTGGGACAATGATCCACAACTGGATACAAATGGTAGGTCTTCTATATCTACGTGAATTTACTGGAAGATAGTTGCAGGGATAAAAAAGGGGTAGCTTCCAACTTGAATTTGGGCGCTGTTTCGAACACCCGTGAAGTTGGTTGGCTTGACAGTACATTTTCGGCGTTTTGGTTTGTCCAAAAGGGGACAGGACTCAAAAGTACAATGGGTGCCAAAGCCAGCTTGGCCAGGCGTTCGCTTCCAGCCAAGAGCTCCAATACCCAGTTACTTGGCCGCGATTTCCCATGGGTTCAAGGGACAGTTTCCTGGAGACCCCCATAGATTTGCCTCCTAAAATTGCATGGGAGAAACGTTCGGTTCTGGTCAATCATTGCCGAAGACCAAGGTAGTGCAGCTTTTTGTTGCCAGTATTTCACCCGAACAATACTTTAATAGGACCTCAATGGCCGCATGATTTGGTACATGAGATGGGACGGAAGGAGAACGACTCAAGCGACTCAGTCGCTCAGGAGCTTTGGATCTTGGAATA